TATGGTTCTTTTTATGATTTATTGATTTATTTTATTTACTTTTAAGTTTTTATCGTGAATCAGGTGAAGGTTTGCAGAGCACATCTGCTTCCCATTCAACGATTCACAAACGTTGTGCGCGTTCGATCATCATCCCATTTCTTCCCTGGAATTCCCCTTCCCTTCTTCCTTCTCTCCTGATCCTTCTGAGCCAAGTCCTGGGGCAAATGCTGCCCTGCTGAGCTCAGTGGTTGGTTATTCTAAGTGCTGCCTGTGTCACTGGTCCCTGACAGACCTGGCAGTTGTTTGGATGACAGTGGAGCCACAGGGTATGTTGATGTCCAGACCTGACAGGTGACGTAGGGCCATCATCTCGGGGGTTCCACCAGTTTCTATTCGATCAGTAACTTGTTTGCTTTGGTTCTGAGCTTTATTTTATACTTTCCTCCCATCTAGCTGGGACTTTCTAGTGTGCTCCAATTCAGGGCAATTAGTAGTGGTGGCCAGACACCAAGTAGTGCTTCCGGTCTCAGGGTCATGGAGACTGATGTTCTAACGGTCCATTAGTCCAATGAACTAATTGTTTCCCTGAGCCTTTTATTTTCCTCACGCTTCTTTCCTCTGGACCACAAGAGAACAACAGTTGTGCCTTAGATGGCTGTTCATGAGTTTGTAAGACCCCAGGCCAGACTCATCAAAGTAGGATGTAGACTATTGCCTTTGCTTTTGCTTTTTAAAATCATTTTATTGGGGGCTCATACAACTATCATAATCCATCCATCCATCCATCGTGTCAAGCACATTTTTACATTTGTTGCCATCATCATTCTCAAAACATTTCCTTTCTACTTGAGCCCTTGGTATCAGCTCCTCATTTTTTCCTCTCCCTCCCTGCCCTCCTCCCTCACGATCCCGATAATTTATAAATTATTTTAATTTTGTCATGTCTTACACTGTCTGATGTCTCCCTTTATCCATTTTTCTGTTGTCTGTCCCCCAGGGAGGGGGTTATATGTAGACCCTTGTGATCGCTCCCCCTTTCTTCCCCACATTCCCATTCCCCTCCTGGTGTCACCACTCTCATTAGTGGTCCTGAGGGTTTATCTGTCCTGGATTCCTGTGTTTCCAGCTCTTATTTGTAGGAGTGCCTTTGTAAATTGTGCTATAAATTATACCTTAGTGTCCCGCAAGGCCATGCTCCTAAGCCCCCAGGACTTATGACTCATTCCCTCACGGTGTCTGATTATGTCTCATTAGGGTAAGAACTTCTTAAAGAGGACACAAAAAGGCAGACCATAAGAAACATATCGATAAATTCCACTACATTAAATATCAGAACTTTTTTCCCCAGAGTCCCTTAGTTGAAATGAAAAGACAAGTCCCAAATTAGGAGAAAGTATTTGCCAAATATATCAGCAAAAACCAATGAGTATTTGGAATACACACATGATTTAAAATCCAACCCCCTCAGAAAAAGACAACGCAAATGGAAAGGGCACGAAGGGCACAACACAGGCACTCCAAGGAGAGCAGTCACACAGTGGCCCATTCAAATATTACCAGATGCTCAGCCCCCCTGCAATCGGGGGCAAGGCCAGTTAAAACCACAATGAGTTATTAGTTCCTGCCCATCAGAATGGCAAACCTTTGAGGCCTAATAGCAGGTGGCTCTTTGTGCCCTGCCGGAGGGAGTGTGACTTGATATGCCACCATGTACTCAGTGATGTTCCAAAGCACCCTGCGAACCAGCAATTTCGCTCAGAGAACTTTTCGTGTCTTTATCAGGAAAACAGTGAAAGGCTGCTCAGAGCAGCATTGTTCCGAAAAGCACAAAACAGCCCTGGGGGAAATCAGTTATCTGCTACCACAGTACTGCTGTGGTGCAGGCATTGGACCAACTGCAAAGTTTGGTGGTTCAAGCCGACCAGCTGCACTCTATGGGACAAGATGAGGCTGTCTGCTCCTATAAAGATTGACAGTCCTGGAACCCTATATAGGGTCACTAAGAGTTGGAATTGACTTGGGTTTACCACTAGCAGAATAGGTGAATTACCCAAGATATATATTCCTGCAATGGAATTGAATTACTGAGGTAAAAATGAATTAATTGCACCTAGAACCATGAACAAAAGTGAATCTCAAAAACACGAGAGACTGCCAGGTAAGATTGTGCTGGTAGATTGTGCCAATCAATGGGGTTGAACAGGCACAAAATCAAAACCCCATGCTCCACACACTACCCCTGGGTGCACCTGGGTAGTAGATGTACACCTGGGTACAAGGCTGCTCGTCTGTGACGGAAGGTGTGCCTTTCTTAAGTGCACAAACACTGTGTGGCTTAGCTCTGGCGCTACAAAATCCTAATGTTGAATACAAAGACAAACCACATGAGTCTATATATTCTGTTCCATCCTGCTTATATAAAGTGCAAAAACAGGTAAAACCAAATATAAGGGGGGTCTATCTATAAATATAGAGATAGATATACTATATAGAAAATCAAAGTAGCTCACTGACAATTCAGAATAATAATGATCATTTCTTGAGGAGATGGGGAAAGTATCTAATTAGGGAATTGTTCATAGTGGCAGTGGGGAACTCTAAGGCATGGATAATGGTCTATTTCTTAGGCTGAGTGTTGGGTAATCAGGTATAATGCTGTCATCCTCACAGATATGTTAACAACCTCCTTATGAAATTCACAATCATGGCTTTTAAATAGAAGAGACTCCACCCAAGAATACTGGCTGGTGAGGTAGGGATCTCAACCAAACGTCTGGACAGGGTAGTCTGCCAGGGCCCAAAGTCAAGGGTCCTAATTCTAACTGGCTGAAGGAGGTGATGCTTTGATTGTCTCATGAAATATGAGGTCTGGCTCAAGTGGAATCTCTTAAAGGTGCTTATGAAAAAAGCAAATAGAAACTACAAGGTGCTATCACTATTAAATGGCTGATCTTTTTTTAAAATACAAAGAAAACTGACACCACCATGTATCTGCGCGAATATGGCACAACTGGAAAGTCTGTATATTGCAGTTAGGAATGTAAAGTCATTCAGCCACACAAAAGTGTGCACACTAATGCCTAGGAAAGGCTCTTTTTGTAACCACTCAAAAATGGAAAACAATCCACATTTCCCTCTCCTGGGGAATGGATAACCAAACGGTGGGACATCCATACAATGGAATGCCAGGCAGCAGTAGACAGCAACAAAATCATGCTAAGTGAGAGAACTCACACTCAACAGCCTATGGATCAATGGTCCTATTTGTCTAACAGACAACCAAGCAGAGGTTTCCAGGAGCTAAGATCCCCGCGCCCCCCCCCTCCCCGGGGTGGTGGTGTTGGTACAAAGAGCACTAAACCAAAAGTACAAGAGCAAAACCAAATTCACTGCCATTGAGTCCATTCCAACTCAGAGACCCTGTAAAGAGCCAGGTGGAAATACACCTTTGTTTTTCAAGGCTGTAAATCTTTACAGAAGCAGAAAGCCTGGTGTTTTTTTGTTTTGTTTTTCCTTCAGAGCCAATGGCAGACCTGGCAGTTATCAATCCAACACATAACCCACTATATCACCAGTCAAAACTCACTGCCATCAAGTCAATGCTGCCTCATCGTGACCCCCTGTGGATTTCTGAGACTGTTTCCAGGAGTAGAAAGCCCAGTCTTTGTACTGAAGAGCTGCTGGAGGTTTGGAACGGCCGACCAGGCGGATCACAGCCCCAAGGAGTAACCGCTACACCACCAAGTACAGGGTAGTTAAGTGGTGTCATTGAACTATTTCAGAACCTTGATTGGAGTGGTGGCTACATGATATTACCCTTATCAAAACTCACAGAAGACTATACACAGTACGCTGTAAAGAATGGATTTTACTGCAGCTAAATTATACTTCAATAAAGTTTGCCCTCTTCTCAAAAAATTGGGCCAATTTCATGGACTGAGGAACCTGATGTCAGATGATAATTTTACAACCCAGCTGTGGCTTAATTACTTGAAGCTCTTCTTTCCTGAGGCCTGCCCTTGAGTGAGGAATCAAGTACAGATGAGCTGGAGGTGTTCAAAAGAAGAAACTGCCCTGGCCCCCCCCCACCAGCAAGGTGCCCCGCCATCACTATAGACCTACACCCCGAAACTGTACGACCATGAAGAGAGAAGCTCAATGCTGTTTGAAAGGGGCAGCCTGCATTTCTGACTTTGAGCTGGATATCTAATTACTAAAGTGGGGCAATTCTGGTGATCTGGATTTCAAAAGGACAGGGAGAGAACCGAGCCACCGAGGGAACTGAAAGGAACAGTCGGAGAAAGGAAAGGGCCGAGTAGGTATTTCCTTCTGTTGTGCATGAGGTTGTCATGAGTGGGGCCAACTGGAATGGCAGTTGCCGATGAGCACACTCTATGGGTACAGTCTGCCTAATCCATGGTTACACAGGCCACCGGTGTGCTAGTTACAAAGGGTGCTCAGCTGAACCCTTCATGTGCTCAATAGGGAACTCTGTATTCCAAGCGAATGAGCAGTGTTGTTAACTGAGAGCATAGCGTCGAAAGTGGGTACCATTTCCTGGTGATTGAGCACCAAAACACACTCCTGGTGACAGTGAAGGAGGACCACCGTACAGGTATCCAGGAGGCAGGTAGGTCCACGTCTGTGGTTGTAGAGGCGTTCAGACACCACCGACTCTTAGACAGAGAGCACCTGTCTGCCACGGACCCCACCCTAACTTCAGTGCCCAGAAGCGTGCTTGTTCTAGGAATATCACATTCGTTGGATGAATGAAGCAATGCAAATAGGGACATGGGAAACTGCTCAAAGCTTGAGCTGCAAGGTTTAGTTAGTTCCCGTCATAGTGATCTGACCGATGAGGGGCTCTGTGCTCTACCGTGGAGGGCTGGGTCTCGGCTTGCTCATCAGGGCCTGGAGGATTACTTCAAGTCAGTAAGCAGAAAGCGAATGGGTTGATGGTCCAAGTCACTATAAGCAGACACCTCCCTCTCCGTAGGCAACACAGAACTGGAAGACACTTTTGTTCAAATTCTCGCTGGAGAATATCTTTATTTATTTATATTCTTCTTGCATACTCGAAAACGCACAGTGTGAATTTCCTCTCTTCAGAAACAGTTGTGAGCCTGGTCAGTTTGTCTGAGTGACATCTTCGGAAGGTCCTCGGAAACATGGCCTTAGGTTTCAGCTAAGCGAGTCACAGAGATTGGTCATGAACAACTACAAAACTACACGAGATCTAGTTATTCTCCCACAGTTACTAGAGAAGCATTGGGAACACAGACATACAGCCAGACAGAGAGCAGATGCAATTGGAGTCATGGGATTTCCATATATATGGCTCTATGTACAATATCAGCATTCTTTTACAGACAACAAACATATGCTTAAGTCATGATTTTAAGGGCACTCTAATATAAATACAACTCTCACTAAATTTTCATCTTTTTCTCTTTGGCTCACAAGTGCACGAAAATACCATAAAACAGCTTCCAGAACTTACTTCAAGAATATATAAATAAGATACCTTACAAATGGGCAGAGAATACAAGACACCTCTTTCACATGGTGAATCTCTGGATATAAACAAGCGAATATTTCATTTCACCTACAAGTAAACAGTCATGAGAATTATTACATGTGTTCTTTCCCTCCCCCAAGGTCAGACGACACAAATTAATCTCAAAAAAACAAAAAAAACACAGCCATTTTATACCCGCGACAATGCTATGATTTCCCCTTAATAGGACACTAATGGGGAGGGTGTGACTGGTCCCCTAGTGGTGCTACTTCTCATCCATCACGACTTCAGGTGAGAGAAAGCCTGACAGTGAGGTCAGCTCCCATCCCAGCATTCCCCTTGGCTCCTAGGATACCACATTGTGAACAGTCTTTCTTGTGGCTGGTGGGCAAGCTGGTGTACAGCAGGGTGAGCCCCTCAGTAACTGCTGAAGGTACAGTGAGTCTCTTGGTGTGGGAAACATGCTGTGATCTGTTACTAAGCCATACTCACTATACACACACATATATAGAGAGGTATATATAACTGTACATATATACTGTGTTCCTAATGTGCAACTTTTAAAAAAGAACAGTACTTCCTGCTATAGCTATAACAAACAAGCTTAAGTAAGGTTTTAACAGTATTCATCAAGATATTATGTTTTCCCTCAATGAAATGAACTATGGGTTTCAGCGACTTAATAGAAGTTTGTTCTAGATTGCCAGTGGGGAGAGGCTCCCCAGAACCTCAGGGTCTCCCGCGGGTGATTACAGATCCTGGCCCAGCCTCTCTATCTCCTCGATGAGGAAGTCGATATCAGACTGGGTGGCAGCTGGGTTCGAGATGACCATCCGGAAGAAGTTGGCCTTGTCCCCCTGGGGCTGGTAGCCAACCATGGTGGTGCCTGACTCCATCATCAGAGCTTTGATTTTCGGAGCCACCTTGTGATTGAAAACATAAGACAGAACTCAAAACTGATATTAGCACCCTGCTCACTCTCTTTCTTTTCACAGTTCAACCCACCATTTCTCGATTAGAAAAAGAGCAACTTGCTTCACATCACGTGTGTTGCCACCGCGATAAAGGCAAACCAGTGTGCTGCAGACACGTAGCTCTAGTGGTTAGCTTATGACTGCGGAGTGGCTTACTCACTCAGCACTTCGTTCAGACAACCCTGAGCACGTCTGTCAAGGCACAACGCACCACGGCCTTTGAGGCAATTCTGAGTCATAGTGACCCTAAAGGTCCCAGCGGAACTACCCCTGTGGATTTCCAAGACTGTTACTCTCCCTGGGAGTAGATAGCCTCATCTTTCTCCCTTGGAGTGGCTGGTGGCTTTGAACTGCTGACCTTGCAGTTAGCAGCCCAGCATGTGACCCACTATGCCACCAGGGCTCCTAGTCCAGGTACAAAGATGATCCAATGAAAAACAAACAGAGATTTGTAGGCAAAGATGCCACTTTAAAGTTTCTGTGTAACCCGAGTCCAGCATACTGCATTCTACACAGACTGTGCTGGACAGATATTTGTTCAACGCTCGAGTTAAGACGATAAAATAGAAATGAAATATAATACCAATAGCTAGAAATAATATATAAAATAAATTAAGGCATCAACAACTAGAATGAATCGAGATTAGAGTAGACACACACTTACAGGCCTTTTAATGAAGATGTCATTTGAAATAGCATGTTCGTAGGAATGCATAAGGAGTCCTCGTGGTTACAGTTCAGGACTGTCTAGCTGATTCTGACTCAGAGCCATTCTATAGGGCCAAGAAGTGTCCCCCATAGGGTTCCCTAGGATGTGATCTTTGGGGGAGCAGACTTCTCCATCTTTCTCCCACAGAGCAACTGGTAGCTTTGAACCACTGGCCTTACAGTTTTACTATTAGCCCAAAGTTTCACAAGCACCACCAGGGTGCCCCAGCGTTCCTGAGTGAGGGAGGCAGTTAACGCACTTGCTGCTGACGGAAAGGGCTGGTGACCCACTTCTAAAAATATCAGCTCCGAAAAACCCTCTGGGGCTCAGTTCTGTTCATGGAATTGCCGGGAGGTGGAGTCGATTCGATGGCAACTTTTTAATTTTTTTAGGAACCTGTATGTCTTTTATCCAAGGATTCTTCTATCTCCCAACTGCCCAATGTCTAGCCTTTTAAATGAAAGACACATGCCTAAGGTAGAGCTGTATCTAAACCACAACAAGGAGGCAGCAATGTAAGAAGAGGGCTTCCCTTCACCCCGGTAGGATCAGCCCATCCCAAGGCTTATTTTTAAATATCTTCCCCCCAGAAAGACGCCTCAGCATGCGGGCATCCTGACCAGGCAGACAGAGAGCCCAGGGAAGACAGAGACATGGGAACATCTCATACCTTGTGGAGCTTTTCCCGCCGCTCAGGGCTATCCGGAATGCCCCGCAGGCTTTGTGGAATGTACCAGAAGCAGACGTTGGTGTGCTCAGGCTGCAGAGATTTAATAAACAAGCAAACAGAAAAAACATAACAAAGACACATGAGAACTGGAGAGAAATCTGCCCCCAAACCCATATGTACCCTTGGTGGGGATGCTTCACACCACCTGAAAGACAAGGTGACCGGAACACCGGATCACAGCGCCTACCTCAGCCAATCACATCTGGCCAGTTCCCTTACTCAACAATCTTCTAGATAACGGAAGTTAACGCCGTTAAAGGGAAAAAGAAATCAGTATGTTAACTGGTTAATTTTTTAATGGTATAATTTATCTTACCTAAAGCTCAAAAACTGTCATCTGGTCGATGCTGACTCACAGTGACCCTATGGGGCAGGGGAGACCTGCCCCTGTGGATCTCTGAGACAGCGAGGCTTTTGTTTTTTTGACTGCATCGCTTTAGGGGAGTAGAAAGCCCTCTCTTTCTTCCAAGGAACTGCTGGTGGTTTGAACTACTGACCTTTCAGATGGCAGCCCAGCGTGTGATCCACTCTACCGTAGGGCTTACTGAGAGACCTAGCATTGCTTAGCCCCCTTGACACTAAAGCCTCCTGTGCATTTCAAGTTCTACGTTCTTGCTACAGGTTTGTAGTTTCTCCCAGCTGCTATCTTTGTGCCTGATGCTAACAAGCTTGCAAGAGCACACTTGCTGTTTCTAACCTGCTCTGAAAATGTTTTCAATACAAGAACGTTGAATTCTGGATTTTAACAGCTCCGGTCTCTTTTCTGCTCGCCTGGTGACTGTCAGGTGTCTTCCTAGTTTAGGGTCCTCGATCACGGGACCAATGCGGAATGCAGGTGATAGTATATTGTCTACTGGGCTCTATGAGGCTTTTCTCTTCAACACCGGCCTCTCCCATCTTTCCTGATTCGGCCAGCAAGGCACATTTGGGTCAATGCCGTGTAACCTAGCTTCTGGCTCGGTGCCCGATGAAGAGCAGGCACGCGGTAAATACTGGTGTGCCAAGTACCTCAGGATGAGCTATGTGGATGTGAACTCAGGGTAAAGCCAAGTTTATCTTGCTTTCTTCCTAAGGAATCCATATAGTACTGCACTATAAAGCTAGGCTTGAGAGACGGGCAGGGAGATACCCATCCTGTGAGAAACACGTGACCTAGGAAGTTCAACACAACATTCAGACACCCTCAACAATGATGAAGGGCATTCTGATCTGGCAAGGGCAGACCTCTGGCTGGGAGCAGCCGATCTAGCGGGAAAGCCAGCCAATGCTGCTGGCGGCAGAGTCTGTGGACACGGAGGACATGCAACGCAGTACACCATGAAGAACATCCCAGAAGCAGCTTCTCGTCACGCCAATCGTTCAATGTCCTTCCCTCCGGAGGCTCCCCAGGACTGCTTTGCATCCGGCCTGCCACCTACCTCACCATCGAACACCAGCTCAAATTCTTCTCTGTTCTTAATCTTGGCGTAGAGATACGCAGCCAAATCCAGACACTTGTTGATCTGCTGTTCAAATCCCACTGTGCCCTGTTTTGTGTGAAAACAAAAAGTCATGATTGTTGGTGAGAGGTGGCATGTCCACGTGAATGCACGCTTGTTTACAGGCAATCCACCAAAGAACAGTCTTGGGGAAGGTTAAGAAGAACCAGGTAACGAGCGTGTAAAGCGCGGCATTCAGTACAGAGAAGGGCGCCTGCTTTCCCTGGAGTTTCCCTGGAGGGTCTCTAGGCATTTATTCTCAAGAGGGCTTTAAGTCTTCTACCCAGGTTCACAGTCTGGACCTGAAGCAACTTCTTGGGTTGCTTTAGGATAAACCAAACCAAACTCACTTCCGTTGAGTCGACGCGGACGCGTAGTGACCTACAGGACAGGGAAGAACTGAGTAGAAAACCCTGTCTTTCTCCCGTGGAGTGGCTGATGGTTTCAAACCTCTGACCTTGCAGTTAGTAACCCAGCAAGTCACCACGACACCACCAGGGCTCCTTGCTTTAGGCTAGGGTTACTCAAATTGTCATCTCTGGACTGAGGCCGGTCCACAAAGCACTTGTAACCAGCCCATGAGGAAATGATCGCAGAAGCTGAGATTAAGTGAGGGGAGACTTTCACAGCCATTGGGCAGTGTAATTTTATCGTTGTTGAATCTAATAAAAAACGGAGGTTGCCTTTTGTATGGATTTTTATTTCACCCTTCCCCCCAGCCCCCCAGCCCCTGCCCCAGCAATTCGTTTTTATTGTATCAGTTCTTTGCTGTGGATAGTTTGAGAAAAACAGCTTTAGAATACACCTGCCCCCTGTAATGAGTCCTGGCCCAAAACCTCCCACTCCCTCCCAGGCAGGCAGCCTTCCACTAAACACGGTAGTATCCCTTTTTGATGACAGGAGGGCCGGCAGATGGGAAGTCACTGGTATCTCTCCATACACGCCCTGAGATTGTGACTGCTCCCACTATTGACACACTGACTGGTTGAGCCGTGAGTTTCCAACGCCAGCACGATTGGTTCAGAACAGCAGCGGGAGGATTGGGGGCAGAGAGGGGGGGCTGATAACAAGGAGAGCAGATGCACAAGGCTGGCTTGTGGATTGCTAATGGGTTGTGTGGGATCCAACAATGGCAACGTGTGAGCAAGCCTCCCCCCACCCAATCGTGTCACTGCTGACTGTAGACCTTGGCAGACCACTGGGGAATGAGGTCCACATCAAGGTCCAGCCAACAGCCAACACACTCAGAGCCAAGTCTCCAGCAGAGTACAAGAGGTTCTTGTTGGGCAAAATGAAAACACACATTACAGAGACAGGCCACCATATGGTTATGACACTTCAGAACAAGAGGGCTCAGCTTGTTAGTGGCTTGTGTTGGGATTGATGTACCATTTACATGTTGAAAGAGAGTCGCGCGGGCGGGGTGGGGGGCTTTGGTCCGCCGACGGAAAGACTGGTGGTTGGAGTCTACCCAGAGATGCCGGAGAAGAGACCACAGTTCTATTCGGACGCTCAGGGGTCGCTATGAGTTGGACTCAAGTCAGTGGCAACAGCTTTCACGTGTTTAAAACACCTATGACTACTTTATGGTAGAGATGAAATTCGGATGATTTCTACAGACAGACAGAATGATTTAATGGGAGAAAAATTAACCATCAGCTTAAATCTTCCTGAAGAGGAAATATCAAATGAACCGGATAGTTCTCTGGAAAACTTTGAGTTTGGGGACTAGGTAAGGACTGTCTTAAACATGGACATGATAGAAACCTGTGAGATCAATCTGATCAAAGAACAATACCTTTGAAACACATAGTGAAACGATGTGTTTGAAACACATAGTGAAACGATGATGTACTCTCCACTCCGTGTTTTGAGGGAGATTCCAATGGTTGGCCTTTATTCCAGACAGAGAACTAGAACCCCAAAGGGCCAGTGATGAATGCAGAGCACGGAGGCTTCGATCTCATAGGAGAATTTCTCAGACTAACGCGTGCATTTTCCAGAAGAGCATTTAAAGGACAGAATAATGGGAAAGTCATCATTTAAATAGAACTTACAAGGGTCATAGATAGCCCATGACCCAAGGCCTCATAAAGGAATGCAGGGTTCTCCTCAGAACAGCCCAGTGGTTTTATCTTTCATCGCTTTCTCTACATCTGCGATGAATACTCTCAGCATCCCGAAGGGCTGGTATGGAAGCTCTTATCTTGGCACGCATTTGGGGTTGTGATAATTCAAATTGAGGAGACTGAATGGAAGGCGAGGGAATTTGATATAAGGAATAAAGTAATTTCCTTCACACAAAAAAGACACAGTTAACGTATCTAGATATTTGATTATACACATGACTTACCTGTGCTATGTCTTCTCTTCTATGGCCACCTGGCCTGGCCACTTTACATTTCGACCCTACTTCCTGAATGCCTTTTTTACATACCTTGGCTTTCCACATCAACCAGAACTTGAAAATGTCCACGTGGCGTCCACACTGGATTGCCTTGTCCCCAGTGTCGTAGGAGACGTCGTACTGCTTGTCTGGCTGGAAGAGGTAGCCTGCACACATTTGGTTGCATCCTTGGAGAATTCCCTGTC